TTGAGTTTCTTACTTGCCCTAAGCTAACGCTGTGCCCTTTCAGAGTAGGGTTGCACTTATTTTATGCACAGACTTCGTTACCTTTGTGAATCAGTGGCGTGGGGTTTTTTGTTTTAATTTTTTGTTTTGCTTGTGTGGGTTTTTTGTTCTGTTCTTTTTAACATAAAAAGCTCTAGGAGAAGAGAGAGGCTATTTCTCATCAATGCAAGCTAGCTGGGAGAACTAGCTGAGGGGCCGTGAACCGCTGCATCGTGTGTCCACGTGAAGGGAATCTCCGTGAGTTCCTGTCGAGCTCCTGCTGGCTCTGGCAGTGGCAGCAGTCAAAGCAGCAAATGGGCCTTATATTCCTTATGGCTTCTCCGAGGCGAAATGTACAGGAAATCAGTTAGTTTCATAGTAGGCAAAAAGCACTAAGAGTTGAAGGTTGTTCCCTTTTTCTACTTCTGGTTTTCAGTTTTGAAATACCGCACGGACTAGCTGTTTACTCTGTACAAGGTCACTTAGAACCTGAGTCTGCATTTTGCTGATTTCCCAGGCTCTGCAAATATCAAGGTCGAGTTAGGCTTATATTAGCTTCTTGGAGTAATATGTGCTTGCTTTCTTGTCACGCTTTATGTATGTGTTTCTACATTTCCATTAACACGTTGTATAATTAGCGTACTTGCACTCAAAGCATTGTGCAAGGACATACCTGCACTAGTGCACGCTGTACTTGATTACATTTGTAAAAAATGTTGTGAAAGTAGCAGGAGCACAAGTAAAGGCCTACCTACAGAAACTGTCAGCTACATGAATTAACATTCAGACGAAATGGCTGTTTGTGGCTTTCAGAAACGCTAGGATTATGAAGAGTATTAGACTGTACAATTCATAGTGGAGTTTGCACTTGGAAGTTGAATCTCAGTCTGATAAATGAAAGACTTGATTCTTCCTAAAACTCTTAGCAAGCAGAAAACAAGCTTACCAAGTACATATCTGCAAATAAACGTACCGGGTTCAGTTACAATTGAATCAGGCTGCACCCCTTAAGTAAACTGTTTCGGAGATCTTTTTGTCTCACTTGATTTAAATCTAGATAAACAGACAGAGAGAAAGCTTGTGCAGAATATTCGTAGAGAAGTTTAGAATTAAATCCCTCTTTTTTTTTTTAATGCAATACACTGAAAGGGCCTTTTGTCTCTGCTGTGGGAAAAGTCATTCAGGAAGCTCACAGGACAAGACACCATGTTAAAGACCTAGGTTGCTAAACAGAAAAGCGTCGAGTCTCTTCTTTGTAGCACCTGTCCAAAATACTCATCTCCCTCTCATTTGCGCAAGGAGGTGAAGTCCTTTCCGAGGGCTGAAGGAGAGGTTGTGGCCATCTCTTAATCCCGCTAAGAGAATTAAGTGGCAACGCTGCTTTGAGGGAGGGCAGTCTTGGAAACGATTTATAGGTACGTGCTACGTTTTGAAAGAAAAAAAAAAAAAAGCGTTGAAGAAGAATTACAGATTGACCATTAATCCCATGCTGTTAACACCTAAGGATTAAAAAACACTGTATAAACAACCACAGGGTTTATGAGAATGTACTTTAATTTTTCTCCCTTTTTAAGCTTTTGGGCTACGAAATACATTTCCAGGGCACTCGCTTCAGCAGTAAGGGCGGGCTCAGCATTTTCAACAAACTTGAGCTTGTTTTGTATGTTCGTCAGTTCAGCAGCTCTGCTTAAGAAATGCCAGTGCCTTGGACTTTGGGCTGGCATTTGTAGTATTTTTAAAACGTAATTCCAAATTCTTTCAAAAGCTGTTACATATTTTGCCTAGTTGTCATGAGACTGAGTATTTGCAAACGCAGTTAGATTGATATGCTCTGCTGGCCTTATGCTGTTTTTGATCGATATGTTTTTGCCCAGAACGTTTGAGTCTGGATTTCAGTTATAACTTCAATAAAAAACAAGCTTTCTTCATTAAAATATTAAATAGTAAAATGGAATAGTAAATTGCTCATTTATACCGCTTGTTATGAATTGAACTTTTCTTTGCTCCTAAAACAAACTACATTAAGATGGGGCTGTTTGATTCATATTTATAATTCAACACAGATACCATTGTAATCTAGTAAATACAGAAGGAGCATTATAAATTTGAGAAGCTGAATGAAAAATCAAATCTAAGGGGCTCAAATTGTTATGTTCTTGAAATGCAGTTGAACTGCTCATAGAACTTCAGACTTTGCATTTTTTTCCCTCTTGTGGAAACAGTGATATACCTTTAAAAGCTTGTTTTAGTCTCTGACTGTGGAGAGAGGGAAATAAGCAGTAGCTGTACGGTTAAAACCTAGGGATATTGCAAGCATGTCACTCCACTGTCCTTTATAGAAGTGGTATTTGAGCGATAGGCTATAAAATCCCAAAATGTTGCGGGCGACACTTGCAATGGAAAGTTAAAAACAAATCCGGAAAGCTTGAGTGAGGGAGTAGCGTGCCCATCTTTGCTAACTACAGTTTGCGTTTCAGGCGTTGTGCTCAGCCGGTCGCAAGGCGAGTGATCTTGAGAAAGGCACAGCAGTCCGGAGCGGTACGGCAGCTTCGGGGCTCTTCACGCTTTCGTGGTATCGAGTTAAAATTGGCTACAGTCAAAAGGAGGATGCAGATGCTGCAAGAATGTTTCTGCAAAACAGTTCTGCTCTGAGCGAGCGTTGGTCAGAGCGTACATGCTTTGATCTGGGTTGGACCCCCTCCAAGAATGGGAGGAAAATAACTTTTGTAATAAGCAAATAACGTCCTGATTATTTTCCTGAAAGGAAGTCAGTTGTGTTGATGAGTTCTGTGATACGCACAACTGTTAGGCACCAGTCTAAGATAAACTGACTCACTGCAGTTTGGTTACTGATAAGCTAATGGGGGTGGCTAATAATGAAAGCTAATGACTTCTGTTATGACATGTGCGTGGTTTGGGTTTTTATTATAGAGACTTATGTTTTGCAGATAAGTGTGATGTTCCTTTGGTATTGTATTTTGCCCCCAATTGTTTTCCGAGTAACTGGGCATGGGATTTAATTCTGAAAACTCTATCATTATTGTTACTATTATTATTAGAACTTCCCCCCCCCCCAAGTGATAAAATACTGATTTTTGGAGTAGTATTTCTGGAGGAAGATTACACAACACTTGCACAAAACTAAGTACAGCTGTGTAACTTGATTTTTTTTTTTTTTGGGGGGGTCATCTTTTGCCACTGAGGAGAAAAATCCAGGGCTGATAGAACCAAAGGCTAAGAATTATTTAAGTGCTTTGGGAAGAGGAGGAATCATGGCTTGGCTATAGTAGACAGAGATGGTTAAGGCTTAATGTTTTTACATTCCTACCAGCAATAAGTATTGTAGTTCTATGTATCAAAATAAAGCATATGTGTGTGTACTAGCATCATAATTTCCAGGCCATTCATAAATGAGGTGACTACTAAGCAACGTCTAGTAGGCATTTTTAAATTGGTAAACCTGGATACGCTGTAGCCCAGGAGAATTGGCAGGGAAAATCTGTGGTCTACTCTAAGATTTCTTATTCCTGGAATACTAAGGAAATTCCAGACAAATATAGACGTGCAGCTGATACAGTAGCTGAAGACGATGAATGGGAGGAACTTGGTAATAGCAGTATAGTTATGTAAAACAGTCTTGGCCAAAATAACGGAAAGTTGCTGAGGCTAGTGAAGGAGGGGATGGTGTCAACTTTTCAAAAAACAGGGCGGGGGGGGTGTCAAATCAAATCTAATCTTATTCTCTGATAAAGGGACTTCCTTTGGTACTATGTACGTCATATCAACGTTTTAGGAAGGGTGTTGAAAAGCAGGACGTTATAAGGAAGTTTAAAAAAAAAAGAGAGATTTCAGGGTTAGAGAGTTTTTAATATAACAGGAGGGGGAAGAAACATTTCATTGAAAGGAAGATTGTAGACTGTGAGCAATACTTTACATTTGCACACGTATGCCCGTATACCAGTCTGGGAAGAAACTAGTTGGTGCAAAGCCATTATTTTTAGCCTGTTGAAGAAACTCAGCTCTAAGCGTGAATGACTTCAAACTTAAGGCAAACAATTTCAACTTAAAATAGTAAACCATGCAGTCTGAATAGGGAAGATGAATAACTGCTGAAACAAACTATCGATGCAAGTGGTAGATTTTCCGGATCTTGATGTCAAATCAAGAAGAGATGCTTATTTGGATGAATAAATATGTTGGGAACACAAACTGCAGAGCTTCCTGTAGATGTGACTGAAACGCACTGTGCCGTGAACCTGACTTGAGTCGGTCATACTCAGCGGTCTAGCGGCCCTTTCCCTTAAACCTCTCAGAAACGGTGTACTTTAGGTTCCCTCCCTCCAGTATCTCCAGTCGTTAAAACATCTTCTTAGAGAGCAGTTACTCATTCTCAGATGATTTTGGGGACTGACTTAACTTTTTTTTGCGATAGTTTGTAGAAGTACCTGGGGAAAAGAAAATGAGCATTTTAGGAAGAGGAGCCTTGGGAATTTTATTCTGGCTCATCAAGTAATATTTCAGCAAGTAATATGCATTGCATAATTGTATAGAAAAGAATTAAGTTCTGTTGACAAGACTTATTTCCTTGCTGGCCTGCTGATACTGCCTTGGCCATGTTTCTCTTGTGAGGCTGTGCTCTGTATTCTTAGTCATTCTGGCTGCTCTGCAAGCAAGGCTTCCTTCGTTCTAGTTCTGAAGTCATGCCAGATGTCTCTTTGCGCTCCACAGGCCTTCTTCTGGCTCTCACACTGTGCCTTTTCGAAGTTATTTGCAGTTCAGCTGGATCTTAAAGGTCATGTGTGGATGCTGGTTCTCTTTTGTCTAAATTTACAACAGTGTTCTTGGAGATTTTCAGGCTTTTGCTTGGCTGTGTATGTCCTGGAACTAGGAAGTGGACTTTGGTGTTTCTCTTGCTTATGACATCTTTGTAAGAATCTTCTTGAATCTGAGTGTCTGGACACTTTTTCCGCTTTGTGTATCAGGCCAGTTTTGCACTGAAGATGTTGATGAGTGTCAGCTCCAGCCCAATGCTTGTCAGAACGGAGGTACCTGCACCAACCACAACGGAGGGTATGCCTGTGTCTGTGTCAATGGCTGGAGTGGGGACGACTGCAGTAAGAACATTGATGATTGTTTCACTGCCTCCTGTGCTAATGGATCTACTTGCATTGATCGAGTGGCTTCTTTTTCGTGCATCTGTCCAGAAGGAAAGGCAGGTAAGGATGGAAAAATTGTGTAGCTCTGTCACTTCTGAGAAGATAAAACATCACAACTCTGGTTGATGCATTGCTTAAAGTGATATGTTTATTTTAAATGTTTTGTGATTAAAACCAGGAGGGACAAAAGGAAATGCACGCTGTCTGTGAGCAAAGACTTTTTAAACCTCTAACTAAGAACCAAAAGGGTTTGTATTGAGGTAGTGGAAAAACTTATAACATTTTTTATTACTGGCAAAGCTGATTTTTTTCCAGTGCTTAGCAGGGTCTGTTTTCGAGACGTTATGGGTGGAGATGAGCTGTTGTATGCCATTTACAATAACTCTACTCAAAAGTGGAGAGGGTAAACTCAGATATTTTTGCACAAGTGAGGATGCCCTTACTGGCATAATGGAAAAGTTCCTACTGTAGGGTAGGTAAAAAGGTTGCGGTCTCCTAACTGCTGCTGGAAACATAAGAGATGAGTATATCTGAATTAAGAAAGAGCACTTCATGCGGACTATATTTTTCAACTGTCAGAGGAATCATCATGCTAGTTGGAGAGAAGAGCTAGTTTACCCCCGCAGGGAGGTTTTGGTAACAGTAAGCCATTGTAGAGTTCCAGAAGTGCTGGAGACACCTTTGAAGTCATAGAATCTGTATTTAATAATGTTTTATAAGTGCATGGTGAAATCCCTTGGGCAGTCTGTGAGTTGAAGCCTGCAGTAAACCGCCCACGCTTCTAGCTGTGGGGGTCGCTATTTGAAATATCAGGATGGAGAATTTGATTTTGTAATATGCAGTCTGACTGCTCTATCTCACTTTTTTTGAATGAACGCTTGTATGCTTCTCTAGGTCTTCTGTGCCACTTGGATGATGCGTGTGTTAGCAATCCGTGTCAGAAGGGTGCTCTGTGTGATACTAATCCTGTGAACGGTCATTATATCTGTACTTGCCCTCAAGGCCATAAGGGAGCAGACTGCACTGAGGACGTGGACGAATGCGCAATGGGTGAGTTTCCGTTTACTGTTTGAGATTGTTCGCTTTACAAACTAATAGAGGGTAGGAATACAAATTTTGTCATAGCCCCTCAACATAAGTGAGACTCCTTCCCTGTTCTCTGCCTTCCATTTCAGTGTCTTTAGATGAGTTTTGAATCTTGCAATGAGATATGCGATAAAGGACTGAGTTGGAGGAGCTGTCCATGTGTGAACTGTTAGGCTGCAAAATATGAAAAGCGATGAGATAAAACTTAACTGTTCTTCTCTGTGTGATAGAGTGTAGCCCTATGCTAGGAGCGCACACAAACAGCTGCAGTAATTGAACTGACACTTGGTTATTTCTGTTGTACGCTGCAGTCCTCAGTTCATGTAGGAGCTATTGCAGATCCTCTCTTGACAGAGACGTATAAAGGATATGTAACAACCAGAATGTGACTGAGTCTTTTGACTGCCTTTACACAGTGGTGAACACCTGGGCCTTAAAAGCTCTAGTTCTCCGATATCTTCCTATTCTGTTGTGTTGGCGATTAACTGGACTCTGGCACGTTTCCTTAACGTTTTGTGTGTGTTAGTTTGTAGAGCGTGCTGTATGAAGGTAATAGCTAACCAGGACTCATAGAAGTTTTTGAGGGGGAAAAGCATTCCTGTGAATTTTGTTCGTCAGTCTGCTTTGGACAAGAGTGCAGTTCCTGTCTGAAAACACTTGAAGGACTAGTTTGGTGGTTTGGTGGCCTTGGCAGCATCTTGTTACCATCAGGAGTGAAGTAAATGGAAATTATAACCTAGAGATGAGGCCTTCAAAGCAGCATTAATTGTCTAATCCATGTCGCCTGACACTTTCCTCTTTAAGAGCTGTTGTTAGGAATACGGACCAGAATTGCTCCTTTGGACCATGGGTGGTGGTGGTAGCCTTTTCCCAGTAGGATGAGCTGTTCTTTTACCTGTATTACTTGCCAGAAAGGAACAGTGTTAGAAAGACCATGACTAATAGAGGATGCCGTGGCTTTCCTGCTCAGAGGAGGGGTTTTATCACGGATACGTATTTTTTCTTGCAGCGAACAGCAATCCTTGTGAACATGCTGGGAAATGTGTAAACACGGAAGGCTCTTTCCACTGTGAATGTTTGAAGGGTTATACAGGACCTCGGTGTGAAATGGACATCAACGAATGCCACTCTAATCCGTGTCAGAACGATGCCACCTGTCTGGATAAAATCGGAGGATTCACGTGTCTCTGTATGCCAGGTGAGGCAAGTTTCTGACAAAGATGGGGCTTCCAGCAAAGATGAAAAAAATTGGAAGGTGGAGCACAGGAAGGGCTGCCAGCTCTGCCGAGGTGGAAAGCAAACCTGTGGTGGGGTGACGCTAAATGAAATGGTGAGAGAGGGCTTGCTGTGGTGACACCAGCCAAGAGGACTTGGCAGTTTGCGTGTGGAAGGGGAAGGCAACTAGAGGACGGAAAGAGAAACCAATCTCATATTTCAGTGAATGAAGTTTGTCTGCTAAGCTGGAATACATGTGAACATGCGTGTTACTATTCCTGTTAAAGCCATGCGAATGGAAATTTAGTGTAAGCAAAGCAGGTGCAAACTTTAAAAGAATGACTGTGTTCTGAGGTGTATGTGTTATGGCTCTAGATAAGAGTGTGGGTTTGGGGCGAGTTTTTATTGCTTAAAATACCCCAAATGATGCCAGCTTCCATTGGCCTGGAGAACTAACCATAAAAATGTTACCTGATTGAAATCTTGCTTATAAAATTTACCATGTCCAGCATGCCGATGATCTGTATAGTCTGCTATTTTGCCTTCTGATAAAAAGTGGTAAAAAAAAAGGGTGTGGGTTGCCAGTTGCACAGTCATGTAAAGTATAATGAAAGAATTGTGACCCCTGCAGGTGATCAGCTGATCCCATGAAAATTAAAATGAGTTTATATTACTATCTAATCTCTGAAGAGAGGTGAAACTCTAGTCCCAAGTTTTTCACTTGGGAAAGGGAAATTTTCCCTCCTAAAATTGTGTTTCTATCCTGTCATGAATTTTAGCTCAAAGGTTTTATTGAAATATCTGCTGTGTTTGTTACTTTGCCTATTGCTTTATATTGGTTCATACCTCAATCTATTGATGATCTCTTCCAGAGCACTAAAACATAGCCGCCTGTCATCATATGGATGAAAGTATTAGGCTTGAATTTGGTACACACTTGTTCATCTATTACCGTTGATCAAATGGGCACATTCAAGACACTTATTGCAACAACTGGAAAATACGCGTTCAGCATCCATTTTCAGTCTCTGATGTGCGTTCTAACCTCAGAGGTTCTGTCAAACTACGAACTCTGCTGCGGTCAAGCTAGGCTTAGACTTTCAGCACTGATATAATAGAGGCTGTCGGAGTCTCAGGGGCACGTTCTAAAGCCTTCAGTCACCTCTTATTATTTTTTACAGGATTTAAAGGTATTCATTGTGAAGAAGATATTGATGAGTGTCTAAGTAATCCCTGTGTGAACAATGGAGAGTGTCTCGACAAAGTCAACCGCTTCCTCTGTGTCTGTCCTCCTGGTGAGTGCTTGTTTCTGGAAGTTTTTCCTGCTTAGGCTTACCAAGAATCAGTAGATCACCAGTGAAAGACTGTGGACAGTAGGTTTCCTGCCAGTGTTTGTGGTCCTAGTGCTGCATCTGTTTAAACAAGTTAGTTGCAATCACTGGTAAATAAGAATAAACATCTACCTGGTTGCAGTAAGATTGTGCTTGTAACTGGATGAGCGTTGAGGAATATACATTTGGACATCTCATATTAAAGAGTGGTTAGCAGCAAGAACTTCTGTCACTGTGCATATCATAGTGAGATTTAGACTAATACTTAAAAATGTGCATTAAAAATCAGAGCCTCTGTGTACTTTTTCTCCTCTATTTGAGGTTTATAGGTGGAAGCCGTTTTCCATCAGTATAGCTTATGTTACTTGCACGAGGAGGGAGGTGGATTAGGTCCCCGCTTTACGAAAGAGGTGTAAATGCTGAGCTGAGGGATTAATGTCAGCTACAGAGTGAACATCACTTGTGTTCCTGGTGGCGCACAAAAAGTTTTGAGATCTCAAAAGTATATTTGAGAATATACTTGACAAAAGCATGCTCTGCATCCCTTCTTATTGAGTAATGATGTTCTGGCTTTTATCCCACTTTTCCTTTGGTTGTTTCCCTCAAGAAACATTCCTGAAGTTTTGGATTTTTTGCTTGAAGTGCCTAGGGATCTGCATCATAAGTGACATAACCTACTGATAGTTTATTGGCTATTTCAAGATAAGTATTGAAAGATACAGAGCTGCATTGTACTACATGTCCCACGCTGCTGTAGTAAATCTAGTCTGGAGGCTTTAGTAATGAATGCGTTATTGTTCATTTACAGTTACTTGCCTTGATTGCTGGAAAATTTTTCCCTTTATTTTATTGATGGCCTCTCAGTTTCTTAGGCAGGCATATTGGTCAGTGGTAGACACCGCTTGTGCTCTGTTTGCTTTGTTTCTGTTTGCCTTGGCCAGCTCTGTTTTCAAGCTGCTCCTGCTGCTTTGACCTGGAAGAGAGAAACTCTCTTGTCTGCTGGTTTCGATGAGGAACCGATCTACCAAGGGTGTGGTGTGCGTGCTTAATGATGCAATCTGATGGCTCAGATTTACTGATCTTATGTTTGGGTGGTTTTAAGAATTTGCTAATAAGTAATTCCTGACAGTGCAGCTGTTGGGTTAACACTTCAAATTACTCCTGGATTTTCATCTTTTCTGCCTTTCAGGGTTCAGTGGTGCTGTGTGTCAGATTGATATAGATGACTGCTCCAGCACGCCATGTCTCAATGGAGCCAAATGTATTGACCATCCCAATGGCTACGAGTGCCAGTGCGCCACAGGTTAGTCTCACGTTCCAAGCCCCTGGACTGGGGGATTGCATGCAACCTCAACGTTGGGGCGGTCAAAGAAGTGTCAGCATACTCTCTTTCTCTGAAAAACTTCTCGTTTGTCATAAATCTTTGTCTGCTCCTTTGCGGCAGAGAATAGCACTTAAGTACAGAAACCCTTTGACTTGTGACAGCAATGAGTTCACAGCTGATGGGAGTTCTGGCCTACCTCTTTCAGTCCCATCTCTTGCTTCCCAGAAAGTGACAGCTGCTTCTGTATTGACTATGGAATCCCTGAATCGAAAAACTTCCATGTGAAGCCTTTTTTCTGTGGTTTGCCCTTCTTTCTTCTGGGTCAGTATATATTATTCAGTTGGAGAACAAGAGACGGACAGCGCAATGCTATTGTGTGTTCTTATTTCTGTTGCTTCAGAGTGTTTTATTATCGAAAGTGGAAGATTTAAGTGCAGTAAAAATGTAGTGCACTGGAAAAAGTATCGCACAGTTGCCACCTGACAACGTAGTTTAAATGATTTGTAGAGCGTCATACAGAAATTTTGACAGAGCTGTGGATGGAATTTAGGTTTTCTGAATGTGCTTAATTCGTTCGTTTCTTGTTTAATTGTACGTTAGGAAGGGTCAAGTTTAATTACAGGACCTTCTTATCTTAGAACCTCTAAGAGCAATGTAGGTGTATTTCAGCTGTAACTTTTCTATCTGGTCAGATAAGAGGGAGTGGGCAGTTCAGAGCTGTTAACGCTTCTTTAATTCTCAGTAAGGATGGATGGCTTTTGGTTGCTTTCAGTTAATGGTGGCTCATGACACAGATTCAGTCTGACCAGGTGTGGAACGCGCTGGCCTTAGCTCTTCCGTTAGGGAAGAGGCTGAATAGTTCGTGGGGCTGCCGCTGTCCCAGAAACGTAGTGTTAGGCTGGTTAGATTCATGAGCATTTTCTCTCATTTTGAGTCATTCCAAAATCAAATTGTTAAAGCAATTTAGTTTGGCGTCAGTAACTTATTCTGCCCTGTACAGAATATAACAGAGGTTACTCTAAAAATTCTTCCTCTTTTTACACCCCTCACCCCCAATAACATGCCTGAAAAAAGCAATGAACGTGTTGCAAATAGAGGAAAGAAAAATAGTTTTAATCAGGAGAGTAGTACTTATTCTTATTAAGATTCTCCTTTTGATTACTGTGTGTGACAGAATAAGCTGACACTTGCAAAACAGAAAAAAAAAAAAAGCTTAAGTCTGCTCTGAACTTGGAAGCTATCTTAGAAAGTCTTTCTCAAGCTAGTGTGTGGTCTGGTTGCTTTCATTCACTGAGAGTACAGAGCTGCTTTATTAACGCTTTGCAGAGCCTTATGGGCCTAGGAGAGTTCTGGGTCGTATAGCGGATGATGATTTTTGCTTCTAAAGACGCAGGAGAGAGCGTTCTGCTAAAGTGACTGGCAGGAAAAGACAGCACTGTATCATATTCCTCATAAGCTGGAGAGCTGCACCTTGAAAACCATGTTCTGAATTTGAGCTATTTGCAAACCATCTCGGTATGGCAATTCTGGGCTCCCCAGAAAAGGAGGAGGGAGTCCTTTCCCCATGAAGGCACATGGCATATGGAGCATTTTCAAGGAACAGGCTGAAAGCAACCAAATGTATCGGTTACTGGTGTAACAGCTCTTAGTAATATCCCTGGTGAGGTATGTTGGCTCAAGACTGAAGAGGATTGTGTACTGGGACTTCTTTCCGTGCACTCTGAGGAATTCTTTTGTTCTATGTTCTCCAAGAGTTTTTTCCTAGTCCAGCTCGATCTGCTAAGAGTGAATTCATATCTTACTAAGATATGTGCAGTTTAGAAATCTTTTAAAAAAAAAAAGTAATAATTATGATTTTAGGACTAAAGTGGTTCAGATGAGCTACAATAGGAAGCAAGGAAATCATTTATTGAACGAATGTATACTAGGTATTATATTTAATATGGCGGTTAGCTTTCTATAAGACTGAAATGTGGAATTCATCATGGGGCAGCTCAGTTATGGGAAAATAATATTTGAATATGTTTTTATTCTATTAATCTCATAAATATGAGTGATTTATATGTTCCCTGCATGATAATCACCAGCTGCAGAGCTGATTGAAAACTGCAGAATGTTTGGCCGAATGCTGTACAGATAGCTCTATTTACTGCTTGCTTTTTGTCTTTTCTTTCTCTTCTGGCATTATTCCACTTCTCCTTCCCAGTGGTAGATCATGGCTTTCCTTTTCTTCAGTTGTCTTAGGTCGTTCCTCTTTTCTCTCCCTCTACCCTTTGTTTTTTGCCACTGTTCGTCCTCTTCTCGGTTTGTTTTTCTCCCTTCCCTAATATCTTTTTATATCCATTTCTCTAACTAGCTCCCCTTCCCTCTCTCCACCTGTTTCCACACCCTTTCATCCATGCATACGTTCGCAGAGCTTGGAAAAGTTAGCCGTCACCTGGTATGTTTGACCAGAGAACTAGCCACAAACCTGTATGAAAAATGGGGAGCCTGTTATCCAGTTATAATACTCAGGTGAGAATCACTCTTCAGCTGTCGAAATTCCCTGCAGCCTAGTTTATATCAGTCTCCAGCTAATGTTTGAAATATGAAGTTCTACCTTCCTTTTTTCCAGCTGCTGGAAGGCAGAATGAGCCATTGCTCCAAAACCTCATCTCTCAAAACCGTTTCTCTTAAATTGTCCCTGTTTCATAGAGCACTGCTCCATTGCGGAAAACAGGGCTCTTGAGGGAGTTGTCTGCTGTTTTAATCATTTTAGAATTTTTTTTTTTTCTTTCTTTTTAAAGCCCTCCCGTTGAATAGATTATGTCCTCCTCTGCTCAGGATGTTTCCCAGCTGAAGGAAAATGAAACAGGCCAAATTGCTGCTTGTTTCATTGCTCGTAAGCAAAGAGGTTGCTTTCAGTCTTTCATAAATCTGCAGTTGGTGCATGATTGGAGTTATTGAAACGTTTTCCGGGGAGAGGAGCGAGAGACTTTTTTTCTTTTCCGTAAGTGGAGCTGCAGAAGCTGTGACATGAGCCCAAGGAGCTCGCTTGGGAAGGTTTCTGGCAGCATCTTTGCAGTAATTTCATGTAAGGAAAAAGTCAGATCCCTTGGATTGTTGGAGAGAGGAAATAAGACAAGAGTGCCTTCAGATAGTTGATACTGATGCAAGTCAATATTTCTGATGGTGATTTATATGCTTCCTCTCGTTGCTGCTGTGTTTTGAATGTAGTGAAGGTAACCACTTCTGATGCCAGGATTCTCCATGCAAGATGTTCTGTAAAATGCTGTGAGCGGTGGAAGAGTCTGTTGTTTTCCAGGGCTGGGAAATGGACAACAGCTGACGTGCCCAGATACCTTTTATGCTCTGTATGCCACTTTGCTGATTTTTAATATGGTACTTTCTATATCTGCGTTCTATTCACTGCAGCATCATACCAGTTTATCTTAATTACTAATTACTCCTTTTGATTTTTCCTTAGGTTTTACTGGCCTTTTGTGTGAGGAGAATATCAACAACTGTGATCCTGATCCTTGCCACCATGGCGAATGTCAAGATGGAATTGATTCGTACACGTGTATATGCAATCCTGGCTACATGGGTGCCATATGCAGTGAGCAGATAGATGAATGCCACAGCAATCCCTGCCTCCATCAAGGACGCTGCATTGATTTGGTGAATGGCTACCAATGCAACTGTTTGCTGGGCACTTCAGGTATGTAATGCACGGGATGGAAGGACTGAATTCTAACAGAATTCAAGCATGTAATTAGTTCTTATGTCTGTTCTGATGTGTGCTGAATTTGCATACAGAGGGAAGCTTATGGTAGAAGGTTAAGGAGGGTTGTATTTTCTTCACATTAATTTTGCTTGCTGCACTTTCCTGTGTTTGTGTGGATCACAAACAAACTCACTGGAATTGCAACCAGTCTTGGAAGAATTTACCTCCTCTTTACCCCCAGAATTCAAGCCTACAGATGTATCTGCTGAAAAAAATAGGTATGACGTTTAAGATGGTTTATTCCCTTGTTTGAACGTTTAGTACAAGTTCAGTGTCACATTCAGTTAGCACCCGTTGATTCAGGTGACGTTCCTCGGTGTCGCATCGCTTCTGCGTCGTCACCTGTATAAGTTGCACCAATCCCTATGTAGCTTTGAAGCAGGCGGGATTCTTAATTTGGCTGTTTCCCCAGGAAATAGTTTTGTCCATCTTGCCTCCTCATTCCTTTAACTTTTTTTCAGGAGTGAACTGTGAAAATAACTTTGATGACTGTGCAAGTAACCCCTGCATTCACGGGGACTGTATTGATGGCATTAATCGCTACAACTGTGCTTGCAAACCTGGATTTACAGGTAAAGTCAGCTACCTGATGGCTCTGAGTTGTTTTGAAGATAGTTATCCTGTCTGGTAGCTAAGGAAGCTGTTCTTTGCGTAATGACTACAAGGGAGTTCAGTTGGTATCTCAGTAAATCCTTCTAATCTTTGAATCTCAGCATCTTACACTAAAGCCAAGTTCTGCCATGCAGAGAAATGTCCTAATCTGTGCTGTGAAGTGCCATTCTTGTTAGGTAATTAAGTCCGATTCATGGTTCTCAGTTTTATAACAAATCAACCTGCGTGACTTTGGGTTATTGTTTGCAGCTCCTTTCCAGGGACAGGGGATATTAAACAGTATAGACAGGAGTGTGTTGGAGGAGTATCTTGGGCTTTGACCATGAATAGTGTTTCTCTTTCTGAGATTGAAAAACGTTAATTCAGCGTTCTAGTGAACGCGTTAGTGAGTTCTTTCCACTCTGAAGTTTCCAACGAAATAACCTGTTTTTTCCAGTAATTCTGTTTCATAACGTGATCTCTTTTTTGTTTTCCCTTTAAATCCTAAGGACTTACGTAACGCTGTACAAACAAAACTGAAGAAAATAAGCTTTTATGCCCTTTCAGATTGGTGCTCAGATCTGCAGATCTACACTAGGACTAGTTCTGATGACTAAAGCATTTTAGGTCCGTTATAAATAATGTTGAGATATGTTTTGAGCCATCTTGGGTGATAGGCTCATGAAATAATTGTCTTAAGGCAGTCGGTGCTGTGTATAACTGTTTTCTCATCACGTTTCTTACTGTTTGTCACTGAATGATTCTAATTAGAATTGATCCGAAATGCCTTAGAAGCAGCACTAAGATGTTTAACGTGTTGTATGCGTCTCAACTTCTGGAGTTCCCTCCACTGGTTCCTTGCACGGACCAAACTTCCTGTTTGTCGGCCAGCATTATTTGTTCTGTTACTGGGCTGCTTACTGTTAGGCTCTTAAAATACTTTGGTAGTTTGATGAATTGGCATTTTTCAGTCTTCAAAGAGCAGGCATGCCTGGGATCTCATTACTTTGTTCTTTCCTTAGGCTCAAAACGCTTTTCAACTTACTGCAGTACTCGTTCTGTCTGTAGTTTTCTGGCCTCACAAGATCTTATGGTCACTGCTTTAAGGCACACGCAGTAAACAGAGGCTAGGCAAAACAGGAAACAGTCTTATTTACGTTTCCTTTTACACAATAAACCACAAGAACTATATTTACTGCAGACAGTATGGCGGTATTGGTTGTTTGAAGGGTAGCTACTGCAGTGCAGAACAGCAGGGCTTTGACAAGTGGACCTCAAGAGGTTTGTTCCAAGCATGATACAATTCAGTGATTTTTGTCTTCCTATCATTAACTAGTTATTATTAATGAAATTCTGATGAGGTTCTTGAATGGTCTGTAAGTACGTGTTGAGTATAAATGCTGTTTTCCAGGCACAGAAAAGTACTGTCTTTCAAAAATGCTTCTGTTGATTTCGGCTGAAGTTAAAGTCACACTAGCATGCAGGATCTGTCCCTTCACATTGATTTTACTGAACTGTCTCTCAACCTATGCTCTTGCAAACATGTGAAGTAAATGTTCTTATAAGAAATACTGTTTAATAAATAATATTTTTATAGGCCCACGATGTAATGTGGATATTGATGAATGCACATCCAACCCCTGTCGTAATGGTGGAACATGTATAAATGAGATCAATGGCTTTCGGTGTGTGTGTCCTGAAGGTTATCATCATCCTCACTGTCAGTCGCAGGCAGATGGCTGTCTTAGTAATCCCTGTGTACATGGCAACTGCACACATGTTATTAGTGGGTAAGTTCTTACAGTCACATTTAATGCATTGGAATCCTTATTTTAAAACTAGTACATAAGTCTGAATATTCATGAGGCTATGGTTATGCTCCCAGCATAGTCTTTCGAGTGTGGGTGCAAAAGCAAATCCAAACCATATGTGTCATTTTAAAAACAGCCACCTGATCACAAGGAGGACGCTGTTAAACTTGTTTGAAAACTGATTTTTAATGGGATTTCTTCTGTGTGTTCCTGGTGCCGTGCTGAAGGCACCGTTTGCAGCTTGTAAAATCTTCCTAGCAGCATGGCTTTCTGAGGGTGTCCCTCTCTGGCAAACTCAAACTTGTCTGCTGCCTTGTAAATTTTTTTTGTTTTGCCTAGAGTTCATGGTGACTTGAGGCTTCTGATTTTTCTCCAATTTCTCAGTTAGCTTAGGATCCAAACTCATCCACTGCCCATGACTTGATCTCTATTTAGCTGTAGAGCTTTGGTCACCAGCTGCAGTCTGTGCTATTTCAAAGTTGGTTTTTCTGTCTCTGCATTGTATTCTTTGCTGTCTTCGCGTGGGCGTCTAGCACAGGGTGGTCTGCCACCATCTAAAGGAGGGTTCTGTGTCATTCAAGTAAGCAGAAAAGTAAAATAAAGAAACAGTTCCACACTGTGGTGTTTTGGTTTTTTTTATTTTTTTATTTTTTTGTGAGCAGCAGCAGCCTACTCCATCAAATTTTAAAATGTGGAGCATAGATATTGTCTTGTTTCTGTGGCTACTGCCTCTTTGCTACCCAAATACTCTGTATTAAGGAACAGGCAGATAGCTTTTTTGACAGTTCACTGGGAGATGGAGAGCAGCATCAGAAGGTCATCTGGGGAAAGTTACAATTAGCAACCAGTTAGAGGGGATTGGATAAAGGTACATCTTCAAGGGTTAGAAAAGGAGCTCAGCATGGAAGGTCAAGGGGAAGGTAGAAATTAATAGCTCGTGCTCTCTATCTTCCTCCTATTCCTTCTGTAAATTTATTTAAACATTTTGCCCAAACTAAAATCAGTCATTACATTCCTGGAGAAAGCATTCCTTTTTAAGCAAGACGTTTTGTTTGAGTCAGTGGATTGATGACATGCAATTGGCCTCTGACTGTTTCCTCTAGCAACTTTCTCAAGATCAGGAGATTTATTGCTGAGCAGTGCTTGCCTAGTACAGTTTATCCAAGGCTGATTCCATCAGTTTTAGTCACACTGCGTGCCTGAAAGAAGAAAGGAAAGATTTTTTTTGTTTTGTTTTTGTTTTGTTTTTCCTGGCCGTTTTGATGGCAGTAGTTGCTTGTGAATCTTCCCGTTCAGGAAGACCAAATGCTGAGGTCAGGAGCCTTGAATCAAGGCTCCTTTTTGCTAATGATGAGTCTGTGGCAAATGAATGACCAGGGCTCTGGGAACGTAGGGCCCGTCGAGTTGGCAGGTATAGGGAGAGAAGGCTCGTATTTGTAAAACTCCCCAACTGTACGGGGGCTCCACAGTGGATGGTGGTGGCTCCCAGACCTGGGCTGTGTCCAGAAAACGGTTGTCAGCACTTGGGCAAGGAAGTGATTTACCGCTGCAGGTCGCTGTCTAGGGCAGGATTCAGCGCTTTCCCTGGAGCTAACAGGAAGACTCTCTTTATTTCTGATAGAGCCTCCCTGTAAGCTTGGGAAACCTTTGGTTCATCTTGTCTGTCTTCTGTCACCTGCATTCAGATTTATGCCCATTTACACCTTATGCTGGGTGCCAGATAAAAGTAAGACTTGTTTGCAAGATGAGGAGGGAGACCCAGCGTGTATGCTGTGTGGCCTGAGTCCAGGGTGATTCCCTAGGTCCTTGGTTTTACATCATAGGGGTGGAGTGCTGCCCTACTTCAATTTTTGAAGAATGGTGGAGTGCGGTGCTGCTGCTCCCAGCCAGCTGTTTCAGTTCGAACCGCTAGTTTGTATTAAATCGGTCTATTGTCTTTGGAAGCTGTTGTTCTTCCCCCTTCTTCCCCCCTTCCCCGCCGATTTTAAAATCTTTTTTATTTGTTCTTCCTCTCCTTAAATGTATTGAGATGGTCTTATCAAAAAAGAAACACGTTGCGGGTTAACTGAGTACTTTGTGAAAAATATAACAAAGTGGGATGTGATTTTAATGGTAGGTTTATTTTCAATATTTTGGAAAATACACAGCTGAAATAAGCAATATAAATGTAACTTAGGACTCTTCTAAAGACAGATCATCTGGTTTTCTCTCAAAGACTATCCGCAGGAGAAAGCGGATGATAGAAAAGTTATTTTAGAATGCTCTAAAACTGTTGGGGTTTTTTTTGTTTTTAAAGGTACAAATGTATCTGTGACCCAGGCTGGACAGGAGATTACTGTGCAACAGAAGGGAATGAATGTAAATCAAACCCCTGCCAGAATGGAGGAACTTGTGAGGATCTGTTGAATGGATATAGATGCACCTGTAGGAAAGGATTCAAAGGTGAAAATTCAGACAGAAGCTTCTGTTCTCCTTTTCTTCCTACTTCATTACACCCTTGTTGCCTTTTTAATCTTTTCGTTAAACTTCCTGGAAATAGGAAGCAAGAGGGAAAATGGCATGGTTGCATGAAGTTAAATTACAGTTGGTTCCTTGTAGACATGATGTGGAAGTAGAATGCTTAGTAAAACCATATTTTATTCTTGTTTGGATATTCTTATTAAGAAATGTCCTGGTTGCAGTTCAGCATAATTTCCTTTGTAAGAAAGTTTTAACTGAGCTATACAAATGCATTGAGAATTGAAGGGGTGTTTATTTACAGGAAGTTTAATGCGGTTTAGTTCATATTAATTTTCCAAAGTGTGGAAACCCCTTAATGAGGCTACTCCAGAAAGATAACGTTTTCTTTTTTCAGATAACAAAGTTCACATAAGATACTTTAAAAGTACTGTAACTTGCTGTATGAAAGCAGCTAGGCATTGAGACAGTGAGTTTGTCTTACTCTACAAGAAATGTTTTTCAGGCAACAATTTGTTTAGCGTACAGCGGATTGCAATTTGATAGGCGAATCTTTGGGTGAAAAAGCTGTGCTTGATTGTGTCACTTTCTAGAAACGCTGGTGATGTTTTTGCCCAGTGGATGAATAAATCACTAACCGTGAATTCTTCTAGCGTTTATTTTACAAAAACTAGCCAAAGGCAAAATTGAAAGAACATAAGATTAGAATTGGGTTATAGGGGTAATGTAAAACTAGAAGAGGAGCAAATGAAAAGACAGATGTGGCCAGAACAACAGTGGGCAAAGATGTAAAAGAAGGCTAAAGCTTTGTTTAAGCGGTACTAGCTGCATCTTTGTGCCTTTCCCACTCACTACCTGCCTCCTCTGCGAGCAGGCTTTTAGCCTTTCTCTCTCTTGGTCTGTAGTTTTACAGCCTCCTGCTTCTTTGTCCCTCTCGACAGCTCATTGCAGTGAGTTTATCTTCCTGTCACTCCCCTCCCGATAACTTGTGTTACTTGGAACTACCTGGGCTGCCTCCTGCTTGTACCCTGTGAGCCCCTGAGGAGTGCTCTGATCTCTTCTTTCTCCTGCTGAGATTTTTCCAAAAATGGAAATGCCATCCACTACCTTGTAGGATAATCATGCAAGTTAAAATCGCTGTGTTCATTCTTCCGAGAGACACCAGGCTCTTAGCAGTATGCTCTCTCTGTTTCTCCCCTTCTGCTCTCCAGGTGTGAACTGCCAGGTAGTGGTGGCTCCTTGTTCCCCCGATCCATGTGAGAACTCAGGAATTTGCCAAGAATCTCCTGACTCTGAAGGCTATACCTGCCTCTGTGCCCCTGGCTGGGAAGGTAATATGGATGGGTGGCATATTTTACTTTCAACTCTGAGCTGTCCTGGAACAGAGCCTTTTGACCATTGACATAATGGGGAGGTCTTACTTCTGGACTTCCATGTTTCAGGGGAGAGATGTACAGTGGACATTGATGAGTGTCTCTCAAAGCCCTGCAAAAATCATGCTCTGTGCCATAATATTCAAGGCAGCTACCTGTGTGAATGTCGTCCAGGTTTCACTGGAGGAGACTGTGACAGTGACATTGACGACTGCCTTTCGAGTGAGTATCAGTGGGTTGTTCCGTGTTTTTCCCTTTTCCCTAAAAATAACCTTGCTGTACCAGTGGTAACTACTACTTGACTTGAAACAATTTCTTTATAATACCTTACCAAAAAAAAAAAAAAAAGACCTCAGCTTTTTAAGACTTGCACATTTGAGACGGACAGTGTCTGTCATGTTTAGCTCCTATAATTGGACTTAAGTATTCTAACTGATAGTAGGAGTTAGTCTCAGATTCTTAAGTCTAAACAGTCCTTATAGTTTACCTACTTTAATAAGGAACACTGGTAAATGAAGAACTAAAAAAATTTGCCTGAAATTTTAATATACAAAGTTAAAGTAACATTGCAGGGCTTGCTGATATTTCAAGGTTAAGCTTGATTGAGGTGTGGTGGGAATATGAGGTGTAGCAGCCTTTCCTGAAATGTCTCTATCTGAAGCAAGTATTCTGGAAGGAGAGTGTCTGGTTGCTATTCTGCTTAATCTGTATTTGAAAAGCAAATTAAGCAGCAGGGAAGGCACTCTTATTCCAGAGTAAGAATCAGTTGCATGAGGATAGTCCAGATACAGATGTGCCTTGAAGTTATCTAAATTACGAGAAAGTAAATGTTCGTTTTCTATATTTTACATCATGTTCTTGACAGTGCTGTGTACACAGGAAACAAAAACATAAGTTCTTTTTCTTGCTGGGCATATTCTGGGTATCATCATCAGATAAAATCATAGTCTCCTGGAAAGTGTCGTGTCGTGTCGTATGTTTAACAGTTCATCTGTTACTATTTGAAAAGTACTCTGAAACCTTGGAGTTGCTCACAGTGTCATATTTTTGTAATGGGGGGGGGGGGGGGAAGAAAAGAGAGAGTTACAGTTTTTATTGGAAAAGGTTAAAAATAAACCAGAGTCTTGAAGACTTTAGGTATGCATTTAGAGAGCTGTATTTTGTGCTGAAAAAAATAAATTTGTGACTGCTGTATAGAAAGATCTGAACAAGTATGTCAGTCGGTAAAAATTTTCATGGGGGGTCCCCAAAGCAGCACTGTTGAAAGAAGTTTAAGGGGTCTGGCTTTTGATTGCCTCTTTCTGAGCAAACATGTTGGTACAGTACAGAAAATGTCCCTTTAATTTGGTTCATCGATCCAAAGCTTTGTTTACTGAAGTTAACAAAATTATTACCAGTCCTGTTAGGTTTTATAGGAGTATCTGAACACATATACATTTTTAAATGTTTATCACTCTCTTTTTAACAACTAGAAAATCTCACTCGATTCCTAAATGTGAGACTTGTGAGATTCATCCAGGGTCGTCTGTTGTGTAGCGCACACGTGAGGGTGAAGAACAACTTAAAATTACTGCTACAGCTGATTTCATTTAGCCTAACAGAAACCTTTCATGGCTTGGACCAAGTGACTTTACTCTATGAAGCAAAGAAACCCTCCAAGAGCATGAACTTGTTAAAGAGTTGATACTGTAGTCTGCTTTTGCTGTGCAGCAGAAAAATGTGCAGCACAGAAAATTAATGCACAGTTTTTGGCTTCAGTCATAAGTGGCTGGCTGCCGGGGGCGCAATGTGTTGTAGCTGCCAGGGCTCTCCCTTTGAATGTGCTTTTTCTCTGCAGTAGTCAGATGACCTTTAAATGAATGCAGGTGTCTCTCTTAATAACACAAATTTTTATCATGTGAACATTTCTCAGTCAGTAAATGAGTTTTAATTACCTCTCACAACTGTTTATCTTCATGTATCAGTGAACAGAATGATCTTGCACTTATGTTGAACTGCAACATTTTTGTTTGAGCTTATTTGCATTTTTTGAAGTATGCTTTTTATTAGTATTTAAAGATGGTCATAGATCAAGAAACTGCTAAGTAACCTCTTTCCCCCTGCCGCCCCCTTTCCTGTCTCTCCTTTTTCTCCCTCCTCCCCATTTCCTTCCCCGCCTGCACATAGGCATGCTTCCTGACCAGGGAAGGCCGAGTAGAAAAGGAAGCCGGCTTCAGAGGCAGCATCTGACAGAGGAGTGTGGGTCTTAAGTCCAGGAAGTGGAAGGAGCAAAATAAGAAGAAACTACTGAATGACTGTGATCTTTAGGGTTGATGGGTAGTTGTGGAAGTAGGACGAATGCCATAGTTACTTGTCATTGGTAGTGCTTTGGGATTATCTCTTCCAGATATGATTTAGAAAGGCTTGTCAGTAGACTGTCGCCCTCTAGGCTGTGTAATCCTTTTTTTCCTGAAGGCTACTGCTCTAGACCCAGCCCTTCACTGCTACCCGTTTTGAAACTTACAGTAGTGCCTCTGTCTTAGATCCCTGCCAAAATGGAGCTTCATGTGTGGATGGGATAAACTCTTTCTCGTGCATCTGCCTACCCGGATTTCATGGAGATAAATGTCAAACAGATACCAACGAATGTCTGAGTGAACCGTGCAGGAATGGAGGCACGTGCACCCACTATGTCAACAGCTACACGTGCAAGTGTCCGCCTGGGTTTGAGGGAACCAACTGTGAGAACAACATCGATGAATGCACTGAGAGGTGAGATAAATTCACTGTGTTGGTGCACTGAGGAAGGAGCCACACAATGTGCGCTGGTGGCTTGAAGCGAGTATGCTTCAAGCATACTCGTGACTCAGAAGCGGTATTTAAGGATGAGGATCTGTTTTCCTGCCTCCTGTCACTGAGACATGAGCTTCAGGCAAAGGAGACTTGCGTACCTTGTGCAGGATACCAGCTGAAGGAGAGCTGCCTGTCAGAGTTGGTGTTCCGTCTGCAAGACCAGTTAGAAGCTTAGTTCCGTCATAAGAGGAAGATGACAGTGTTTAACAAACATTAAGACAGTTACAGATGCTAGCTTAAATAAAATAATTTGTGTTTTGATAGGAGCATTATCATACAGAGGAGGGAGAAGAATGGATTGGTTTTGAACAGTTACTATGTTGAGAAATACACAAACTGCGAAATGGGAAGCGATGGCCAACTCTCGGAACCACAGGAAAAATAAATTAGCCAAGAGTTGAGTTATTCACTGCAAATAATGGAAGCCAAAAAGTAGGAAAAGAGGAAGAATTTGAAAGATGCGAAGAGGCAGCCAGAAGGAGCGCAAACTCCACAAATTCTGTACTAGAAAGGTTTAATCAGCAGAGAGCTCTTTTAATGCTAACGAATTGGATGCGGGTTAGCAGTGCTGAGGAAAAATAAACAAACTCCTTTTTAAGGAGATGCGGAACTGAGATCAAGCCTGTCCCCAAATATGATTGGTTCACTTAGTATCTTTTAAAAACTCTCTTTGAGGACTCCTCATCTCCCTGCACATTTATTTTAAGAATTTATAGGGTTGATAAAAGTAGATTTAGATTCTCAAATAGAAATAATTTCTACTATAGCTTTTTATATATATGTGTGTACACGCGCACGCGCACACACACGCGTGCGCACGCACACACACACATATATATATATAGGTAAATTAGAACAAATTGTGTGATCTGTTCCAGTGAGAAGCTACAGGTGAGGTACCTAAACGTAAAGCTCTTGCTCCTCTCATGCATTTTCTACACAAAAAGAAAAGATTTCTTTCTTATCTCTTATAAAATTGCAGTTGTGGGGGGGGGATATTTAATGTCCTTTGTTTAAGAACTGAATTGTGTCACTGATGAGGGTGTACTTGATTTGCACGACAGTTGTTTTAATCAAGTGAAGTACCTTGGGTGTTTTAGCAGAACCGCCTGGTTCTTCCTTGATGTTCATCCGGTTTTTGTTTTCATTGTCAGGGCAGAAACCAGTCTTGCAGGTATGAATGAAGGATGTAGCAATTTTCAAAGCTCTGCCAAGCTAAACCAGTCACGCCTTCTCGACCAAAATTTACTGAGCCGCACTTAAGAGCGCCATGATGATTAACTAATTTGAATGTAGTTCAAATGATTCTTCCTTCTCCCACGGGAGACCCCTCCTATGAGGGAGTGCCATCTTCTCTTGGAGCGAGCGCCTGATTTCAGTGAAATGTTCCAAGTGATTGACGGTTCCTTTTTCTTTTTTTTTTTCCCTTGTTCTGTCACGAATGTTAAAGGCAATTTTTGCTCCATGTAAAACAGAATTCAGCCCGCAAGGCAGAAGAACAGCTCTGACAAATAGATTAATGTTAATATCTCTACCATATTCACCGTCAAAGTTCAGATATTTAAAACTTGTACCTCAAGTTCAGAGAGATGAGTCAGTGCCTTGTCTTACGGAAGTACCCTTTGACAGTGGACAAGACAGGTGACAAACACGAATTTGTGTGCTTTGTCAAAGTGATTATCTTGAGAGTCTAATCTGGGGTTATTTTCAGAGGAGCAGGAGTTTCCTGGCGCACGTTTCTTTGGAGGAAAGAACTGTAACAAGTCAATTTTGCATCAGGTTTCACTTCTCCTATTTTTCCTAATCATTTCCATAGGGCATCTACTGTAATAGACTTTCTTCTGATCAGAAGGTTGGGGGATCGCTCCTTCAGTTTGAATCTGCCATGGCATATATGGGTTGTTTTTACAAATCAAGGGCTTTACTAAGGGTCTGGTGAGAAGAGAAGGAAGAGAATTAGTAATAGCAACGTGTTCGCTTAGTTTCAACAAAGAACATGCTTGTGTTTGCGTGTTCTGTGAACTTCTTCCTTGAGAATACACACCTTGGACTCCTTGGAAGTATTTAAAAATAAAGCCACATTGTTTTATAGCTTTAGTCTCAGGAATTTGTAATAAAATTGAAGAGACTTTTTACAAAATTTATCAGTTTGAGCAAGCCACGTGCATAAATGACATAGTACGGTTTGTGGTGACATTGAAGCTGGGAAGATTTTATGAAGTGAGAAATTAACTCCGTAACAAATGACTCACTGAAACGCTGGTTTACTTTCTTTGCCTGTAAAGGTAAAAGATAGTAAACTGTTACTCCCAGGATAGATTATCCTGTAATCTGGTTTTCTGTCTCAGTTCAGGAATGTTTACATGCTGTCGTCGACTGTGAGCTAACTGCAGTTTGTTTCAGCTTAGTTTTGTTCTCGCTATTTTGCAGTTCCTGTTTCAACGGCGGTACCTGTGTGGATGGGATCAATTCCTTTACTTGCCAGTGTCCTGTGGGGTTTACAGGATCCTTCTGCCTCATGGAAATCAATGAGTGTGATTCACATCCTTGCTTGAACAAAGGCTCTTGTGTGGACAGCCTAGGGACATACCGTTGTATATGTCCTCTGGGTTACACTGGGAAGAACTGTCAGGTGGGTGATATTTTGTCATGCCTGTTTTTCACAGGGAATTTTTGTTTGAACTGTACTACAACGGAAGCTACCAGAATAGATGTGAGGTAGAGCAGATCTCTAAATATGGCAGAGCTCTTATTCCTTCACTTTTGGCCTATTAGCCCAGGGAAAAATTAGTTCAGTGCCACTCCCCAACAAAACCAGTACCCCTCTTTGATACTCTAGAAATCGAACAGTATCTACTAGGTACAATGAAGAGGAACAAAAGAAGCATGGTTATCGTCAAATGAAGGTGTTATTGGAGCTTTCTAAAACCAAAAATAGGTGTTAGCTCTGAAAAAGGCTGCACTTCCCTTGAAGCGTAAAATTGTCCTGGTTCTGTCTTGTGCCTAAAAAAAATAGGCACCACTGGAATGGAAGAAAATTGATCTAATTAGTAGAACCTTGATGTAACTGCTCTCTTCTGTACTGGCAGGTGTGGCTCTGTTCTTCCAGGCTGACTGTGGTGTCCCCCCCCACCGTAAAAAGCCAGTCGTAGTAATTAGGATAACCATATCTGGATCCGTAGACAAAATGTGGGGGCAATAACTGAAGGGATCGTCCTATTCACAACTTCAATAAAATACTCTACCTTACTCACAGGTTTCAGTTCAGGTGCTTATGGTTGCCCTCAGTAAGCATAGGAGCTGCAAACCCATGTTATGATTGATTGACTAGGGCTTATTAAAGATTCATGTGAATTTGGTTGTTTGCCAAAAATACAAGGAAATTGTAAGAGATGAGTTATGGGATAAATGGGAAAATGTTGTATTGTCAATGTTCCAGTTTCCTTTTTAGAATTCATACATCTGATTTCACCCTTGGTACTCAGTTCTAAGTATAGAAATAGCTGAATTTGAACTGTGAAACTTGGCATATCACAGTGGAAGCAGAATGCTGATTTCATTTTACAAATCAGATTTTTTTATTATTATTATTCTGTGGTTATCAAAACAGCAAGAATGATTTGAGACTATATCTAACTTTGGAACAGTAAGTACTGACATTGGCTTCCTTCGTAAGCAGTCTCACTGCTGCCATATTTTACAAAGAAATCTGTGAATGTCTTAAGCTGCTGGAAAGTACTACGGCTTCATAAGGTTTCTGCAACTGTTCTTCACCCTGATGTGTCTGTGTAACACAGTGAGTGTTAGAGTAAATGTTTTACTTGGGGGCTGGGATGCTTTTCTAGAAGTTTACTGCTAGACGTTGCAGTTGTCAGGTCTACTTCTAGGTATTGCTAATGGAGGAAGTGAATGCAAAGTAACGAGGAAGTGTAAAGAAGCAGCCCCTCTGCTACCCTAATTATGTATTCTGGGCACACTACTTCAATCTCCTTGGGAGAACTAGCATTGAGAGTGATCATAAAGTACTGTGAAGTTCAGTAGTTCCTCCTCTGTTTGCATTTGCTTTGTTATTACTTGAGAAAAAGATCAGTGTTCCCCAAGCTAAATGTTGTGGATTGTGAGAGAGTCTGCCTGCGTTATATTCAGAGAGAAGCTTGATCGTAGTGTGTTACTCACTTTATACAGGGAATCTGAACTTTCTAAGCTTACAAATACTCTTGAAAACCGTATGGGAGTGATTTATAGATTACAGCTACACTGTAGTTCTTGTCTTAGTGGAAAACTGGCTTGACCTAATTAGCAAACCTAAATAAGCAGAACAGAATTGGGCAGTGCTTCATAAGTTATGGAATTTGCATGTAAAACGGTCAGCTACTCATTACAGATGCGGAAGCAAGAGGCTCAGTGTTTTCCTTCTTCACAGTCAAATGCATGTGATAAAACTTAATTCCAAGTTTTGTGGTTGTGTGTGAAAGCACAGATTTTTCCTCTTTAATCTTTGTGAGGAGACGGTTTGCATCTGAAAAGCAGAACTTCCTGCAACTGAAACTGCATTTACAGCCAAAATTCAGTTCTGTTCTCTTTAAAAACTTCATCCTTCCCTCAGATCGGCTTGAAATCAAGCAAATAGCTGCATTACTTTGGGGACTAAGTGGTCAAAAAGGAAACGGTGGTTAGTAGCTGATTTTATATTAGGTAATACAGAGTTATTCTGAATCCTCACTTCATCTGTATGATGATTTACTAAGAGAATTTTAGTCTTTGTCTGGATAACGTTCATTTTTATGTGAAGAATCAAGGAATGCAGTATACTCTGGCCCATCTTCAGTTTATAAAACGGCTGTAGGATTTTAGTTGAATTTCAGAAGGTAGAAGAACTCAGAGAAAACGTGCTAGAGCGAACGGAGCCAAAAGCAGGTATGGTGAGCTAATGACAAAAGGGAAAAATAAAGATGGAAATGTGCGACACATCTGTCATCCTCAAAAAGCAGTGAAAGTGGAGGGAGTTTGGGAGAAGGGTCACCTGTTGATATCTGGAAGCTTCCTGCTAATTGTGAAGATAAAAACCTAGTCTGATATAAAACCGATATTTCTCGAACCCAGCCAGCTAAAGGATCCCTTTGCATAGCAAAGCATGGAGACAGTCTTACTCCTGAAATGATGCTGCCATCAGAGGCTTACTTCTCTTTACATTTGCTCTTTCCTAGACATGAGCTCTTGAGTCTGTCAGTGAAGCACTTAGCTTACGCTAGGGAAGTACTGTCCCCTTTCTTTCCAATGCCACGTGGAGCCAGTTCTGCAGAGCCTAGTTTCCTTTCTGTGTTTCTTGAACTTGTGTGCTGAATAGTGTTCTCTGTGTTCTTGCTATGTGAAATGTTTTGGGGTTTTCTTCTCTCCAGACGCTTATGGATCTGTGCAGCAAGTCTCCCTGTAAGAATAAAGGCACATGTGACCAGATTGCAGCCCAGACTCGATGCCTCTGTCCATCCGGCTGGACTGGTGCTTACTGTGACGTGCCCAATGTCTCCTGCCAGGTGGCAGCTTCACAAAGGGGTAAATACGGCTCTTTTGTGCTTTAACTAAAGCATTTCCCAGTGCATTATTAATCCATTCCTCCTTTCCTCATACCCCTGTGCGCACAGCATGCATTGGAAATCCCAGAGAGCCTGGCCTCTTGGAAGTCATTCACAATCACTTCTAAGCTAGAAAAATCTTTCCAAGATTGTTTTGGGAGTCAAGGCTCTCTTGATTCTTCCTGACCTAAGAAGCTAATTCTTACCATAAAAAATACTAGAAAATTAAAATTGAATATTTTCTGAAGTCTCAAAGTAATACTGTTTTACAGGAACTGCCTTTTTGTGAAATACATCAGCCATTGTTATGTTTTTATGATAAATTCCAGGCAGACCATGTTTAAGACATGCTGTCCTTGTACATGAAAGTTATGTGGTAACTTATCTTTTTAAGCATTTTGTCAGTGAATATTGGCTACCAAATCCTCTATCTGGCTATTGCTGCTACTGTCAGCCCCAAAAGTAGTAATTTCCTACTTCAAATGTTGCACATATTTAAAAAAAAAAAAATCACTTTAAAACCAATTCTTTTTATCTTCCTAGAAGGCTTCTTGGAGCCCAGGCTGATGGACAGTGTCATGCCATTGAGTTCAGGAAATCTAAACAAGCAGATTCACCGTCAAAGGAATAGGATTTGCAGTAGTCTTGCAGACGTTCTAGATACTGACATTAAATCTCTATACTGTAACAGTAACACCTCAGAGATGGAGATTCACCAGTCAATGGTGAAATAATACAGCAGTGCAAATAATTCATGCCAATATTGGTGTTAATGGTCCAAATAAGATGGCGCAGCAACTCCATTCAGAAGCCAGCAGTAGTTCTATTTATTTTGTAATTTAAAGAGTAGCTCTTCAAACAAAAGGTTTCTGCTCGTTGGGTCTGGCCATACTTATTTCTGGCTGAAATACCAATGCTGATGGCAAGCGTGTTTCACCCGTTTGCTCACTTTACTGAACTTTTTTTTTTTTTTTTTTTTTTTTTTTTTTTTTTGGGGGGGGGGGGAGAACTTTTGTGTAACCCCTC